TGGATTCCACTGCTAGCCACTATCCATCTTTGCTTATAATGCCTGTAAATTAAGGCAATATCGAGGCATACGCACAGTATGCACATACACCAATAACAAACTGATCAATTTCAGTCCAAAAACATCAATGGGAAGATTCAAGTTAAACAATATCATGTGAATTAAACTTCAACCCATTGCACAAGCAAGTGGCTATCAGGACTCAGTAGCTAAGTGGATAACTCGATGGTGTTTGAAGCGAACGGTACTGAGTTCGAGTCCCAGAGTGAACATCAACTCTGAGATGCGGGTACATCCCAAATAGGACGAAACGCGCGTCTTGGATTCCACTGCTAGCCACTATCCATCTTTGCTTATAAAAGATAAATAAGGTCAATTGAGAATTCTCTCGTTGTTACTTTGATTAATAAACGATATCAAATGAAATTAATTAAAGCATTGAAAGTCATTTATGCCATAGCATTCATTTCATCATGTAGTTACCATACATCCATGAAAAATCCTTCGAAATTGGTCGTATAAAAAGAATCTTGTACAGACACTTTCAGTAGTTTTAGGATGAAAGTCAACTTAACATTTATCAACCATTTTAAAATCAGAATAACAGATGAACTAAGATTTGATTTTCAAATTGTTTCTATGACCATTGTAAATATTCATCTCTTTATTTAAATATTTAAAATTTTCAACTAATTACATTGAAATAACTCAATTTTATATTAACCTCTTTTATGTAATGTATTAGATGATTTCTTTGAAAAGTTGAATTTATGAGTTCATGTAAGAAAGTTCATCATCATGAAGTCACTAATTCCTAGTCTTAGCCATGTTGTTAGATGCAGACTAATTGGTTGGGATCCGCATGACTATTATAACCAATCGTTGGAGACTCTGGTTGATATGGTTCAGAATTGATTACAATGGTGTAAGTGTATACACTCTCTGTCTTCCCTTAATTGATGAGGTTAAAATTACTTTATACCTTTATTTCTACAAACTAATTCTCTCTTTCTGTATTATATCCTTATACACAATCTTTAATTTATATCGAACTACCATTGAAGTGACTACTCTTATGAATTTGGTGTTCATCTTGTTGTGCTAATGAGTTGTGGCAACTTGAACCGATGCATATATGTGTCTAATCCTATGTTGTAGCTGACCGACTGACTGACTGAATTCATCATTAACAACGTACTGAATGGCCATTTCGTCCTAATATAGTGATCTAGCTTAGATCGGTTCATGAATTCAACCATTAAAATGATTAAAATCTCCACAAACCTCTATTCTAATAATAAACTTTGTAAAGCACAAATTTAACAGGAACACTCAAAGCATGACACATAGAACTTAACTAACATTGAAATTTTTAATTTTCTGTCAGCCATTACTATTAGATAATAGTTCATTTTAATACTTACATCTAAATATTTAGTTTCCATGTTGATTAGTTTATAAACAGTCATAATTACTAATACTGGGGATTTTTATTTATTGATTAATGATTCGTATATATATATATATAATATACAATACAAAGTGTACTGTGTGACATTTGTTAAAAACCAAAAACAATTACTTGTTTAACAAAAGAAGCGGGTGATATAAATTTTTTTATAAAAATGAAATGTTGTTTACTGCAATCGATCGGTCTCTTATTGATATATGTGCATTCTATGCAAACTTCCTCGATATTGCAATAGGTCACAAGCTTCAAAAACGAAGATGGATAGTGACTAGGATTGGAATCTAGGATGCACGTTTCGTCCTATTTGGGACTTATGAGCTACTGAGTTCTGATATCTACCTGTTTGTACAATGGGGTAACATTTAAATTCACTTGGTGTTGTTTACTTGTATATTCCCATTGATGTTTACCACTGCAATTGATCTGTTTGTTATTGGCATTTGTGCATCATGTGAGTATTGCCTCGATTTAGCTTTAACTCACAAGTATTATATGCAAAGATCGATAGTGGCTAGCAATGGAATCCAGTACGTGCGTTTCGTCCTATTTGAGACTCGTCCCAACGTTCCAGAGTGAATATCATCTCCGAGATGCAGATACATCCAGCTAACAAGTCCCTAATAGGATGAAACATTCGTCCGGGATTCCACTGCTAGCCATCTTTACTTGAAAATATTTTCAGTTTGGAAACAAAATTTTTCTATAATTTTCAAACGTATATTTAACTGATTAAACAGAATGCTTAATGTATTAGTGCAATTCATATTTTGTCTTTCTTGTAATATGAAAAAGCATAATTTTTGTGGTAAAAAAACAAACAGTGATACATTCTGGATATGATAATTTACAGCTGTTGATAGAATTTTTGAAAATTTAACTTAAATGAGGAAAAGGAACAAGAGTGAACGTCATCTGATGAGATAATACTCAGTTTTGATAATAATAGTAATAATAATAATAATAATAATAATAATAATAATAATGGGAGAAAATCGAAAGTAATTAACTATTCACATGTATCAGATAACGAGTCCCGAATAAGATGAAACGCACGTCTAGGATTCCACTGCTAGTTACCGTCCATCTGTACTTGTAATCTTTTGTGTTCCATTTTTCTAACCTAATGATTGGTTTGGATATAATTGTATTTTTCTAATACTTTGTATATCGTTGTTTTGTTAATCATCTACTGATTCGTGTTTTCGCGTTAGTTCGAGTCAGGAATAAATCGAACATTGTTTCAGTCGGTGCACCTTCTGTCTCTTTTGCTTGTCAACCAATCAGGTGTTAGGATGGTTTTCGTCTGTCTGGCCTCAAGGCCATTTAATCACTACTTTGACCTATGCATTATTAGACTCAAGGTTTGAACTAGGTAGTCTATTGTGTTAAGACCTGAATCTAGATTAATTAACATAAGTATGAAATGAGGAAAGTTTAGAATAAAGAAAGCGAAGTTTTTCAAATGTGTTACACCAAAATGAAGGGAAAATAATTTAATATTATCAGTGTTGATTCTAAGTAATTTTGAAAATTAGTAGAACATCTCAATTAACGAAATATATAACAAAAACTGAAATTCAAAATATAAATGATTACTTGGTAATTAGATGTTATAAAAGTCAGATGCCTCATGTGAGATGTGAAGGTTTTGAGTTCGTTTCGTGGTGAGATCATGGATATAAAATAATTGGAACTTTGAAGTATTTCTAGAAGTAAAGAAACAAAATTACTTTCAGAATAGGGGTTTGTCGAATTTATAGATACACACTATTGAAGAGTTGCATATTAGGACGAAACGGCCGTTCATTGATTTCAGGTTTTCCAGGTTAGTCTAGAGTAAATCGACTCATGAATTCAACCATTAATTTATTACAATCTCCATAAATCTCCATTCTTATAAATAATCATCATGTACTCACTAATCACTAGCTTTAAGATATATTTCCTAGAGTTCTAGTGAAAAGTAGTGACCAGTAGTTACTCACCGAAGACAATGGTAGACAGTGGCGCAATATTGTGGATTAGTTGAAGCTGAATACCAATTTAGTGATGTAGAAATTAAGCGTTCGTGCACAAGACCGAAGGTCCTTGGTTCGAATCCCGATGGTTGGGATTGTGGATGAATATTTCTGAGAAGTCCTATACTATAACGATACAGCTTTCCAATGATTCATGGTTTTCTATGGTGGTCTAGCATTGATCAAATTTATGAATTCAATCATACGATTATTTATTACTTTGTTAACATTTTGCTTAGTTATTTAATATACTATTTATAAATTAATAAACCATTTAAAGATTGTATATAAACACAAAAAGATATGAAGTTAGAATAGAATATGTAAAGTTGAGTTTTACAATTGTATGAAATCATCATCATCATCATGATTATACAGCACTGCTGTATATCGAATCATTCCCTGTGCATATATGTTTACTTTCTTTTTAGGAAACATTCTTGTTTTATCCTTAACTACTTTCACATCTGACAAATCATTTTACTTAGCAGGTGTAAATTTTAACATAATAATAATAATAATAATAATGCATTTGTAAGATTGGACTTTCGATCTCAGCTAAGTTCATGGTAGTTTGTAAACTTCACTGATTGAATATACTGAACGTATATGTACATACACATGGTTGTTATCTTTACATGATGCACACTATTTAAAAAAAAGAAAAAAACAAAAAAAACAGTGTAATAGGTGACATTAATTGAGAATGTAAAGTTTTCTTTTTGGGGTTCTATTATACATTGGTTAGTAATGGATATATATATACAGGTATGTTTTTATTTGTATATGAATAAATACATTGAAAGGGAGTAACTATTCGGACAATATATGATTGGTTTGATTTGAATAGAAATGTGTAGTTACATTTAAAGCAAAACACAAAAAAAAATAATAATTCTGTGTTCTATTACTGATATTTTACAATTTTTGTATCTGTGCAATAAGTAAATCTAGTTTGTTATTGTGTATAATTTCGAGTGTGTGTGTGTATATATATGTTTGTGTATGTTATTGTATATATATATATACATACATATAAGTGCATGGATACAATAGGCACAGTTCAAGACTTGCAAATGTTGGATCAAATTAATATATATATCTATTCACATGTTACCATTGAAAACCTTAATAGTAATAATAATAATAATAGTAGTAATAAATGTAGTAACCGTATCCTATGATTGGTAAACCAGATTTCGGATCAGTCGAATATATAGATAGATAGATATTTGTGTGTTTACATAATCTATAAATGAATATACATATGTGCTTGAAATTTAACAAATTACCCCTGTTATTATTTTTTTTCTAAAAACGTTAACTAAAATATTGTTATTATTAGAGATTACTTGAAATATCTTTCATCTTTATCATCATCATCCTCATCAGCAGCAGCAGTTTTATACATTGTTAACACACATAATAATAATATTAATGTTAACGCGGAAAACCAAATTATTAATGGACTTTAAGCAAATCAAATAATTAACCTATTAACTTAATACATAATGAATTTATCAACTATCAATGTAACTCATTCAATAGAATCTTTATCTTCATCAAGTTCACCAGAATTATTAAATACTAATACAATGTTAACAACTAATCATTATACTATAAATTCAAATCTACCATCAATCAATCAAACAAATAATAAATTAAATGGTAATGAATTGAAATTAAACTCTAATCTATATCATCCACCACCACCACCTCCTCCTTCTCAACCTCCTCAACCTCCTTCTTCTCATCATGATCATCATCATCGTCCACAACAACAACAACAACATCATTATCATTCGAATTATCAACAAGAAAATCATGAAGTAACATCATCATCATCATCATCGGCGGCGGCGGCGGCGGCGTTATCATCTACATCAACATCTAATGGGATAATATCAATGAATCATTTAACCAATTCATTATTATATCCATTTTCATCAAATTTATTATTACAAGAATCATTTATTCATTTAATTTATTCAACATGTTTCAATATATTTGATAAAAGATTAAATGATGAATTAAATAAATTTAATGAAAAATATGAATTATTATTCAATGAATATAATGAAACAAAATATCGTTTAAATAAATTAGAAACTATAATACAATATAATAATAAAATGAATATTCCACTAATACCATTACCATCATCTTCATCATCTTCATTCTTGTTACCATCCTCTTTAACCCCCTCAACCTCCTCCTTAACCTCCTCCTCGTCGTCGTCGTCAGATTATTTATTAACTTCATTGAATTCATTGAAATCACAACATTTCAATGAATCAATTATTGATGATAATAATAATCATAATAGTCATATGATGAATACATTAAAAGAGATTGATACGAAATGGTTAATGAATTGGAAACATAATAATGAGGATTATTTGAGTAGTATAAATAGTTCAAAGAATAATTTATTGGCGCCTATGTTAACAACAACAACAGCAACAACAACAAGATTAGATGAACAACAACAACAACAACAATCAATACAAAGAATAAAAGATAAACTAAAAGATAATCATCCTATAGAATTTGATATCAATCATTTATCTAATTCATTTATTGATTCATCAATGAATGAAAATAATGTAAATTATCCAAAACATTTATTTCATGAATCTGATATAAGTCGATTACATAATCATTTTTATAATTTCAACAATGTAATACCATCCTCATCATCATCATCATCAGCAGGAGCAACAGCAGCAGCAGCTGCTGCTGCATCATCAGCATTGTCAATAAATAATCAACATTTATTATGGAATCAATGGATGGTTAATTGTATAAATTCTGTTAATGGATTATTATTATCATCATCATCAACATCATCGTCATTATCATCACAATCAATATTAAATAATTGTGGAAAAATTAATCCTTTCACTATGTCAGATATGGATACTATAGAAGAGAATCAAGTAAGTTATTCATGAATATAGTGCGTTTTCTTTATTAAAGATCATTTATACATTCGTTTTGTAATTACCTACTAATATCATTCAAGTATACATTTAATAGGGTTTCCTTTTGATCGAATGAATTCTTGAAATACTATAAGCAATTCAATATAAAATGAGTCTAATAAGAGAAAATATATAACACTTGAGATTATGAGTCAATTAAAGCTAGACCATTATGAAAAACTTGGAAGCACTAAAATGTCTACAAAAACACCTTCTGATACAAATCAACATATGCTCCATAGTGACTGACTTCAAGAGGTATTTCTTGGGATTCTAGTGAAAAGCACTGACCAGTGGAGTTCAGCCGGGTCTACTGCACGATAATAGTAACTCACTGAAGACAATGGTGGATATACTATTTTAATAGATGAGATCATGAGTCAGTTGAAGCCACATCACCATGAAAAACCTGGAAGCACTGGATGGTCGTCTCGTCCTGTTGTAGGACTCCTCGGCAGCGTACATCCACGATCCTGGCTCACGAGATTCCAACTCAGGATCTATCAGTCTTACATGTGAACGCCTAACCTCTAGACCATTGGGCTCGTCGGCATCCAATGGTGTTAATGTCTAACTTCAATTAATCCACCAAATTGAGCGACACATCCACCATTGTCTTCAGTGAGCTACTATTATCTCACAACTGACCCGGTTGAGCTCCACTAGTCATTGCTTCTCACTAGAACCTTAGGAAATACCTCCATATACTATTTCCATAAAATGATTGTTATAGGATTTGAACTGATCTTAAGCATTTGTAAATCAAAAATGAATGATTGCTGACATTGTTTCAAAACATTCATGCAATTAATTCCCTTTTTTGAATTTAAATAAAACCAGAATGAACATGGAGGCAGAATAATATGAATTCATTATCTTTTGTGGTTTTTTATCAGTTGTTTACAACAAAAAATATGTGGATGCGCACTGCTGAGGAGTCTCATACTAGGACGAAACGGCCGTCCAGTGCTTCCAGGTTTTCCATGGTGGTCGAGCTTCAATTGACTCATGATTTCAATCTGTGAAAATTTCTAAAATCTCCAGAAACCCCTTCTCATGAAAAAATATGTACTAATGTACTAAAATTTTGCATTGAGGTAAGAACATAATGTGAAACAATTGACATAAGTGAATGTAAAGAATTGGAATGACAAAGGTTATCAATAATAACTATATAGGTCGGAGGTTATTTGATGTTAGAATCGAAGGAAAAAAACATAAGGAGGTGGGTGATGTAATGATTGAGTGAAGTTCAGAGATAGATACGATAAATTGTGTGATAACTATGGAGGTAATGAAGAGTTTGCACAAGAACCATGGTATTAAAAAAAGAAAAAAACTGGTAAGATGGGTTGCATAATAATTAAACAAGATTTGAAGAGTTCATAAAATTTAATAGAATTGAGTGAGTGGAAATGTATGAGTGAAGGGGGGGGACTGAATGTATTGAATGTAAAATAAGAATTCGATAATGAAAGATATCTATAACATGCTAAACACTAACACAATAAAACTAATGACCAATAAATTGAATTACCAAGGTAGTAATAAGTTTATTCCTGTCTCCTTTCGGATACATAGATGAGGTTTGAGTTTTTTTTAATTTTATTGTAATCGCTTCAACAAACCAAAGAGAAGCAGAATTTCTTTGTCTGCTAATAATTTTAAAATCATGTCGAATATCAATAATATGCCGAACTATTGTACTGCTAAAAGCCCTTACCCTTCACAGTCTTAATTTCTTTGGAACATGCTCGAAAATGCAAAGATGTACTCTTAATTCGGTTCTTTCAATGTATGTGCTATGTTTAGAAAAAAAGGAAAGGAAACCTTTTCAGGAATTCCATTTCTTATGACAGTTTCAATGTAAAGAATACTTATTAGCATTAAATAGAATAAATTATGTATATAAAATAATTTCCTAATCAGTTACATAATTTCAATAGTTGAGATCATGAATCAATTGAAGCTAGACCACTATGGAAAACCTGAAAGCACTGGACAGCCATTTTATCCTATTGAGGGACTCCTTAGTGGTGCGCATTCACGACAAATTCGATAAATTTACATTTCTGTCAATTAATGATTGTAAATCAGAAATTCAAAGGATAGAATGCTGCAAATTCATAACTATTACCGTACTATAATGATAAGAATAATTATTATTTCAACGAGTTTCTGTTTCTTACCTCTTCATCGATACTGACAATAAATATTAAGTGATCACCAGTTAGAAGTTAACAGTCCAGTCAATCAACATCTAAATAATGTACATTCTTTACGATGCATATTGCCAGCAACCACGATATCTTTGATTGAACCTTTTTGTAACTTGTACAATTAACGGTTGTATACTTTTGAGAAACTCACCTCAATAGATTATGCGATTAATAGTCATAATGATCTATTAGAACAAACAAGAAAACAGATAATTTATTAAAGGTCATAGTGGTGTACAAAAATAAACTGATATGATGAGCGTTCATGAATAAAACAATGAGAATATAAGACATAAGTAAAGGGGGGGAATGCAGTAATAATAATAATAATAATAATAATAATAATAATAATAATAATAATAATAATAATAGGATAATCAAACTAATTAAGGCCAAGGTAACGATAACGATAAGACGTACTTCTTTTGTACGCATAGTTCTGGTTTAAGCTCCTGGATGGCAAGAGCTTCGGCTATTTTTAAAAGTTGTATACGAAGAAATCTGGGTAGATTTGAACGAATCATATAAACAACCTTAAAATCAATTTGTGGATCTGTTGAATGGTTATAGTCGATTAGGTGTTCAAGAATAGAACTCCTAATTGCTTTCCTTTCACCCTTATAGAACCAGGCTGGGATATTTATTGAAATATCCAGATGGCAGAAACAGGTAGTCCATATGTTTAAGCAGGCCGCCTTATTCTATGTCATAAACGATGATCTTCAAGCATTAAAATGTTCAGAATAAATTATTATGTTAAGTAGAAATAAAGAGAAGCATTTTGCAATAATAAATGCCTGACATCATTCTAGGTTCTTTAAACTATTTCAAGAATCTATAAACACTAATCTGATGTTAACTTATGAATTATGACAGTATTTGAAAATCTTCAACCTAGATTACCTAATAATATTCATCTTGGTTTACGTATGATCAAATATTCAAACCTACTTGGAATCTTTTACAGATATAAAAGAATTTATTAGCCTTTCATATACTGTTTATGAAAAATATCGAAGATCTGGTGATGGTTTAATTTATCACTGATCTGATTATGAATCTAAGTATTTTGATACAGCATTTGATTAGCTATTATTTCCAACCGGATGCAAATATAGATGAATGGAGCTGAAACTTGATGAACTACTATAATCATCATGAAGAAAGTACAAGTATTTATAAATAGTTGTCTACGCAAGATACTCAATATCCATTGGCCGGATACCATCAGCAACAACCTTCTGTGGGAGAGAACAGACAAGCTTCTAGTTGAAGAAGAAATTAGTAAAAGACGACGGAAATCGATAGGACATACATTACGCAAATCATCAAACTGCATCATGAGTCAAGCACTAACTTGGAATCGTGAAGGGAAACGGAAAAGAGGAAAGTCAAATAACACATTACGTCGGGAAATAAAAGCAGATATGAAAAGGATGAATATCAACTGGAAGGAGCTGGAAGGGATTGCCTAGGACAGATTAGGATGGAAAGTGTTGGTAGGCAGCCTGTGCTCCTCCATGAGGAGTAAAAGGCAAATATACATACAAAGATTACTTGATCAAGCATAATTTTTGCACGTGATCATGTTATCTATGCTAATGACTGTCTGTGGTTGTTGATATTAAATAAGTAGTTAAGTCGAGTGTTTATTCTTCAATGATACAGTCAATAATGTCTTGAATAATTAAAAAAAATCTGAGATGATTTTTAATAGTACTGTTCCTGACATAATGCATTTTTCTTATAGTAGTCAGCTGACTAGACTATAAAGTCTCTATAGACTATACTAGTCTATAATCTTATTAAATCACAGACATAGGATTATGTATTAAGGATGATTTTTAATGCAAAATATTAATACATATGACTATGACTACTAGTTACCTTATTGCATAACGTATTGACATTTGAGTGTCAATGAGAACATCCACACAGAGTGTACAGATATAGCAAGATAAAAGGCTTTAAAGTGGATGGAACTCGGAATCTAGATTTTATTGATTACTATCATTTATACATGCAATAGAAAGTCTTATCAAATACTTTATCAGTATTCACTTTATACATATTCATCATTTAGAATCATGTCTCTTATTTGAATTTTGTGTTTTGAAAGATGGTTAAACTGTTCCTCTTTTGATTGAGATCATGAACCGATTGATGTTTGACCACCACAACTGAAAACCTGGAAGCACTGGACGGCCGTTTCGTCATCTTGTGGGACTCCACAGCAGTGCGCATTCATGTTAAAAACTATCACCATTGGATGCTGGCTCAGTGGTCCAGATGGTTAAGCGTTCGCGCGCGAGACCGAAGGCCCTGGGTTCGAATCCCGCGAGCGGGATCGTGGATGCGCACTGCTGAGGAGTCCCACAATAAAACGAAACGGCCGTCCAGTGCTTCCAGGTTTTCAATTGTGGTGGTCTAACATCAATGGGTTCATGATCTCAATCAAAATCTTAATAATCTCCACAACCCCTATACTAGTGCTCTTCTTTTATCATCCAAAATAATTTAGCAGTATGTTATTCAAAAAAGAAACATATACAGTTTAGAAGAGCAATACTTCTAAACCATTTACATCGTTTTATCAAGACGGTTGTACTACTTCATAATAGTTTATTTTAACTAGGAATTCATAGAAAGTCAGGAAGTACTAGTTAGCCATTGTAATCTCATTTTAAACTTTTCAAGAGTCTTGTAAGCAAAGATGGATAGTGACTAGCAGTGGAA